AAGGTCCAGTCTCTTCGTAACGGTCATACGAGGAAAATGATCGGCTTATAAAATTGATGTTATATGACACATTACAGTTGCCACAGTGTTGGTCCACCAACTGAGTTATGGCGTCCAAACCTCACTGGTGAATCCCCACACCTCTACTGGACCAGTAGCAGCAGATGACTGTCGGCGTAGTAGTCGGCCTTTTCAAAGTGAACAACAACCTGATGCCATCTGTAAGCCAGATCGTGTAAGGAGCATGTTGCACCCCTGTAGTGGATTCGTTTATTATAACATATGAATTCGGACTAGTCATTTGCATAACAAGTTTCGATTTCGCATCGGTAAATTATTTCGTCTTACTATTATGAGACAGTTTTTTTATAGGAAACGATCAAATATCATGAGGTTATATCCTCAAATTATTCGTCACTTATATGTATTATGGATCACTTTAGTTGTTTGAGCAAGGTGGGTCTTATTTCCCCACATTTAAAGCTCCGTTTGAAGAAAGAATATTCTGCGATACTTTGCGTAGGAATACTGACCCAAAACATCGTATGTGTGTCGTTGTGTTACTTAGTTGCTTTAATCAGCTGTCTGGTCGAATATTCCTTCTACGCCCAAGATAATCTGTCTACATGCTTTCAGACTTCGGCTCAAATTCTCCCCTAAAAATCAAGAAATCTTCACATCAATGAATAAAATAATCTGGAAACCTCAAAGGTTAGAAGCAATTAAGTGAACTGGTTTATTAGAAGCATTGTTTGGTGAGGCCATATCAGCAAAACAAGTCTGCCGCCTAGACACTCGGTCTCAGTCTAACTCCATTCAAAGATGGTTTTGTTTTTGACCAGCAAAGCCTTTTTCCACCAAAATCCCCACGAAGCAAAAGAGCACCTGGTGTTGCCATTTAAATTTAAATAGTGCCGTAATTTCAAAACCGATACAGTGATTTCATGATTTTCTGTAAAATATCTCGCGGTTCTCAGAGATTTGCATTAGTTGGGGTCTGTTTACATCCATTTTTACTAGTGCCTCCCGAATGCTGTGCTCTTAGGTAGTAAATTACTCTTAGGCATCTTATGTTTAAAGGATCTGTGAAACTTTTGAGAATTGACAAGCATGCAAAATAGGAAATGTGGGATTACTAGTAAAATTGGCGCGCGTTTAAAAACCGCCATACCATCCTTCTATTTATGATTTTCTTTTGTAAATCTCTAGTTTTTTTGCCTTTTTCAGCATATTATTGTGCATGTGGACGAAATACCACAACCATAAGCTTGGTTTGCATTTTTTATTCTTGTAATTACTTACCTCTGGTTAGCAGCCTCACGCTCCCTCACACAGGCGTCTTCCTTCTCACGCAGTAGAGTACGACGCAATTCTTCAAGTTGTTGAAGATACGTTTGAAAAGCTCTGCTATCTGCAGACTGCACCTGTTCACTACAAGATTCCCGCAATTCTTGCATTTCTTGTTGGTGTTTGGAGATAATTTGGGCTATTTCAGCCTGAAGTCCACGAGCAGTCGTTTCCTATAAATCGATTGAAGAAATCTTCAAGTTAAGTATCTTGGGGCTTCATCAAGCCAAATGCACAATCATATTGGGTGAGATAAATATGAAAAATAAATATGATAAATCCTGTGCGCAACGCGATCTTTAATCGTCAGTCCCCTTTTTTCCTCAGTGACTCTTCAGTGGAAACCTACGGGCCCTTGGTGATAAACTAAAATGAGGTAAAAAAAAATTACTTGTACGGTACAACTAGCAAAACGGAAGAACAGTGCCCCTAATTTACAGAATGAATTTCATAAATTGTTTAAAAGAATTAGCACACTTAAGTTTGACTCTCGAGATTAATTTTATCTCCAATATATACTACTGCTTTGATGTAGAACAAAATTGCGACTGCTTTAATATTAATCGCGTCCTTTTGTTGTTGCTACCTGCGCGAGTAGAACTGGAATATTCTAGGCCGGGCGCCCTAAGGACCAGAAATTTGAGTCCATGAGAAACGAAACAGCTAACTAATTGCCTGCTGTATGAAGGCATGAAGGTTGCTTTACGAGTGGAAATGCTCTCCAAAATCAAAACTCACTCAGAGAAAGCACAGCTGACTCTCCAACATACCTCTAGCTGAAGGTGACAGAGTCATGTAGGTAGTCAGCTAGACGCGAAACATCTGAATGCTTTAAGTCAATTTTTTTTATTTCAGAGTGTCATCTGTTTGAAATAATGAAGCTTTTTAGATGAACAGTTGTATACTCAACATGGCAGAGTCCCGTTTGGCTCAGCAGATTTCACGGAACTGTTAATTTCTGTGTTTATATGCTGCGACAAGCTCTCTGCAGAAAAGACGGCGCACAATTTCCGGGTTCTCTGCATTATCGATCATTTTTCTATGAAGCATTCATACATCTTCGGTCGAACTAAGCACACACCACTCAGCAACCATCCACATGACCAGCATCACCAATCAGCTTGGCGACCAGAATAGTGTGCTCATGCGGACACCCGGAAACCATATTCTGTGGGCAACAGTCAACAATGAGTAAGCAGGCCCGCATATGTACGAACGAGTAACCGAAAACGTGCTAAGACTTGTTTTTGGCTTATAGTGTGTTTCGGAGTGAAACACTGCACAAACACTTTACATCAGCCGAAGCCAACAGCTGTAACCCCACCCTGATGTGTCGCGAAGGGTTATAAGTGGGCTAAGTTATAAGGCGGTTAAAGAAACTAACCCAGATCCGAAGACGTTCGTGCCCGTCCTCTAGGTATCTTGTAGCAAACCCTCATTCCAATTGAGACCTCAGCCTGTAAATTTGTTTAATTTATTGTAATAAGCCAACAAGCATCCTGTGACTTTCAACCTTATTGGTAGGCATAGTCAGTGCACATCTCACACAACTATGTAAAAAGATTCGATCCTTCGTCATTGAGCATTGGAGTCCAGCGTTGTCTTATTAGGTCAGGAGTGGCTGATTCGAAATTAGACAAGATAAGAAGCGCGACCCATACTCCAGTGAACAATTCACATTATGTGCGAGTACATAAACTGTTGCAATCGCAGTACGAATGCGATTACCCACCATCTGTAAGTAAAACTCCCATGTTCAAACAGCCCTTGCTGCTCTACTGTTTGTTCATGTTGAAGTTTGCTCTCCCCAAGGCTGATGTGTTTGAATCTACGCTCTGCGTTTAAGCGATTGTGTCTGTAACGTGTCTACCACGAACCTTGTGTTTTATCCAAAATAAACGGAACAAAACCTAACTTACCTTTAATTGTTTGAGTTTCTCAGCCTCCCATTTCTCTCGGCGAAGTTTTTCTGCGGCGGCTGCCTTTGCTTCGGCCTTGCGTAAGTCGACCTTGTGTCTGTTTTTGAACAGCAAAAGGGGTTGGGTGAATTAGAAGTTAATGCGTGCGGGAGCCTCTATCTAGGGACGACTACACCAATAGCATACTACTCACGCTAACCAAGGAAAAAAATGTCTTGAAAAGAAATATCTCCTCCGACCTTGGCGAGTTTCGAGTAAGTTTGAGTCAGTGTTATTCTGCAGATGCTGTAACATTTGTCTTACTCTAGTGCACAGAATCCAAAATGTCACAAGGTGTTTGCTCAAACCTGAAAGTGGCGCGAGCCATAACCGGACGCCTTTCGACATTTCTAACCCGTGTGGTAAACATCGAAATCCTGCAAAATTTATCCGCTGGGATGGCAAGAAGGCATACTGGTTAGGAAAGCTTTTTACACAAGGATTTAAGCATACAGATCAGTTGGACCAACGGCCCAGTCTGGAGCACATTCGGAAAGATCTTCGTGTTTCCTCCAAGATAGAATGTGAAGCTGAAATGAACCCCTAGAGTTTGAATCACGTCATTGTCTTCTGAGCGTTCTATGTGTCGTTCCAAACGAGGAATTTACTGTGCTTTAGACAACCCAATGAGGCATCATTCTCTTCCAGTGGTCACAAGTTTTTTTCCCGCAAAAAAGGATGCTGAATGCAATATTCCGATACTTAATTCGTTATAAACGCAGTAGCGGCCTGTGTTTCCGGATGAGGAAACCTTTGTTTCAAGTAAGGATCCGGCTGATATCCTGAGATAGTTGCGTAACATATTTTATGCCGCATCTCCAAAAAATAACCTGAGAATCTTGCGTCCATTTGGGTTACCGGTTCTACGAATCTACCTTTAACGTTTGAACCATTTACCAACTGATGCTACAGGCTGAGATAGTTGCGTAACATATTTTATGCCACATCTCCATAAGATAAACTGAGAATCCTGCATCCATTTGAGTAACCGATTCTACAAATCTACCCGTGGATGCTTTAACGTTTGAATCATTTACCAACTGATGCTATGGTGCGAGATGTGGCGGTCACCTTGTTGTGGAGTGTGTAAAGGATGTCAGAACACGCAATACTCTACTGAATCTTTGAATATTAATCCTAAATAAATGTAACTTGGTTTTAATCTTAAGGAAATCGGCTATAATATGTATGTACGCAAATATTAACATGTTTCACGGAGCTTACCTATCTTGAACAACTTTCAACTTTTCCTCAAGTCTTTGAGAAACTGTCTTCATTTCTGACATTAGGTTTTCACATTTGACATGAAGTGCTTTCTTTTCTTCAATCAACTCATCAATGAGCTTGTAATTTCGCGAAAGCGTGGCCTCATAGTCTGCTTTCATGGATTCCTTGCGCTGTTCGGCCTCACGTTGCGTATCGCGCAGCTGGCGCATTAAGAGTTCACGCTGATGTTCCAACACGCGTTGAAGTCGTTGTACCGATTGCGTTCTTTCCTCCAGTTGCATGATCAATGACTGAACTTTCGAGCCAGAGCAGGATTCAGCCTACTCATTCACACATCAAACCAGGATAGAATAAATAACAAAACCGCGACAATGGAACAAGTATTGACTTGCTGCTGGTAATATTTAGGTCATTGGAGAACAAATCTGTGGATATATATAACAATACCTATGTAACAAGTACGTCTTTCTACAGCTAAATATTATGATGTTCCTGATGAATGTTACGGTTAGGTAGGCAGCTTTCTATCCATCAATTGCTCCATATCGATCATGATAACCAAGTTGTATCAAACCGACTTCTGCTCCGTGGTCAGATTCCTCAACAACTCCGTTTTATAACGAAGAACAACAAGTCTCTCTGATATCTGACGATGTGCTTAACGTAAAGATAACGGCATTACTTGTCAGTAATCATCACACTTTACTTGTATTGAGGGACATGCTGGCAACTCCACTTTCTTTAGAAGGTTTTTGGTGTGTTTGTTGTGCTACACAATTTGGTGGCAACTTCCGTGTCAGTTATTCTTATAAGGATAGTGCTCATATATCGCGACATATCCGTTGATGCAGACAAGTGAATTACTCGCAGGAGCGACAGCCATAGGAAACCGCAAGATATTTATGAACTGGTGACGCTTTTCTAAAATGACAACAACCCCGGCTAACAATGTCAAATTCGTCTGTCGGTGTCCTTTTAATTAGTGTGCGTACTACTTAGCTCTGCTTTATGAATTATTGAGAGGCATTGATCCATGATCCAGAGATGGTTGTAAAAGCCATCAATGGATTTACTACTGTACTGCATTATTGGTTTCTTCAGAGTTTTTTTTACGCTATAGGTTTCAGCCACGTTCAATATAAGTAAGCTATAACTGAACTAAAGTATGCAAAGGTATGTAAGACTAGCCATTTTTGAAATCACTGTTATCTCTTCTTGTACTTCTTAAATAAAGTTATAGCCTTACAAAGCAATTTTCTGTTTGTTTACTTAAAAAAACTCAATTAAAAACTTTACTTGAAAATGACTTAAAAGTGACCAATGTCTACAGCGTTCAATCGAATACAGACCGACTGTGGACCATGAGTTGTGGACGATGAGTAGACAAATGCATCAAAATAAAGTATGAAAGAGATGAAGCGTCAACAGTAATTAGATCCATATTTTTGTTGTTTCAAAGGGTGATGGCAAGTTGAATTTTATGTGACTTGGGAAGCGATTTGTCACACTAGCGGCCAACTTTTCACAAATAATTACTTTCTATTTAATAAGTAGTGTAAGCTAAGAGGAAATGCACTGACCTCTAGCATGTTCCCTGACCAAGTCGAGTTAACGGAGGTCCTAGTGTCGACAAGGTGTTCATGCGAAGATCCCTTTTTCGGTGTAGTGGTGTTGGTTGACGACAACTTTGGAAACTTTTGCTCAAGTTCAGGCGCTTCGGAATAGATACACCATGGATCCGCCGGTGGACCGTTGGTTTCTCTGGAGATCGCTCCGTCAGTTGGCATTTGTTTATTTGTGCTTTTTCCAGATCCTGTCTGACTCTTTGTTCTTAAGAGAGTACGCGTTTGCTTCACTCTTCTCTCCAGTGTTTTTCCGATGGCTCTTCGAATTTGCTGTTCCTCTGGCCTGATAATTTATATTTAATTAATCAGGGCAAATATTATCAATTTAGAATTCCTAAAGGAAGTGATTTACCAGCAAATCAGTGACTGATGAACTTGCTCAAGGTTTTACAGTGTGATTACAGTGTGTTATTTGGGGAAAACGATAAGCAAAGAGTGTTTTGTCACCAGAATAATCAGTAAAAACCTACCGGCGGATAACTGATCGTAAGGCGTCAACTCACAGTCAGAGGGTTGTAAGATTACTCTGAGAAGTGAAAAACAAAATCTTACGTCCTTAAGGAAATTTTTCTGGATGTTCTGGAAATAAGATTAAGACAAGAGTTGTGTAATTCCACTGAACATGGCGCTACTCTGTCCCCCTCCCCGGATAAAATCTTATCATCTAGAAGAAACAGCTGACTGCCCCAATTCCAAATAGATGAGAGGCACACGGGCGACATTGGGTATAGCCCCATTACGTGCGTAATTAATTTTCGTTTTATTATACATTCAAGTCATGTCTACTCATCTAGAAAGAGATCTTTAAATATCTTAATTAAGTTGCACTTTGTCACTTACCTCGACCTACGGGTCGGTTCCAAATAAAGAAGGGCTTACATGTGTAAGGGACCCTAATGCCTTTTTTTCTTTAAGCCAATTAAATTATTTTCACCGACTTTAAATGAGTCATTAGGAAGAAGAAACTTAAATCGTGTGACACAATCATTAGAGGAATGCATTGCGTTCATAATAAAACCAAATCTTATATGAAATAAGTACCACGTGGCTAGGTGTATGAGTTAGAATCAAGAATAACATGAGTAAATAGGCCAGTTGCTTACTGAAGTGTGGAGAATAGAGTTAGGGACTGCCATATAATTACTTAAAGCACACTGTTGGGAGTATTATCGGTTGGCATTGTGACTAGAAAAACGCAGCTGGTGAAGCAACTTCAAACCTCGTTTAAGTAAACACGGTTGCGTTCTGAAGACTATTTTTATCAACCCAGCTCAATCCAGCCACCCAATCGCCACTAGCAGTGCTGGATACTTGCGTGAACTCTAGTCAGTCGGGTGGCCGTTGATCTGCTTGACGATCTCAGCAAAGTGCTTCAAAATGTTCCGCCAGAACCAGTACATTTTGGAAGCCAGTTATCTATCGTAAAGTTTGCTGATTGTTTCTTATCCCTAATTTCTATGCATTAATCCACAATGGAATTCAATTTATTCGCAAATTCTGATGTTTCATTCCTCTTTCTTGATGGCTACGCTAACAAACACAACGAACTGGATTATTACGAAGTCATCTGTGCCTAAAAATTATTTATAAATGTTTATCTTGTGATCATCACTGCCGGATTGGAAAGTTTAGATAAGATTATGTCAACCTGCATCACCTGTAGCGCGGACGTAATACCAGTCTGTTTGTCAGTACTCAAGTTTCCAATGCTAGGAAGGTGTTATGCGGCGTATGATTGCACTGATTCAGTCCTGCTTCAATGATGATGATGATGATCAATTTTCCTTACTTTTTTGTGATTTTCCAGTATAGAACAGATGTGTTTCTAGTCCTTCATCGTTGCCATTTTAGGCTGGGTTACGGAACCAATAAAATTGGTCCCCCAATAAGCGACAGCATCAGATGAGTTTGTAGTTTGTCCTATTTACTCGCGGGCGAAGGCAGTTAGATTATGTTCATTTAGATTTACTCAGGGGGAACACGCTCAGGTGAATCTAGATTTCTAGTGAAACAGCAAAACAACTTCGCTGCTGATTCTTCACATAACGTAGTGATCAGTGTAAGCGGAGCACTTACTAGGGTGATTCACGTTTATTTCAGAGCACCCTTCCCGTAAAAGGTTTCCGAGGCCAACGATTTTCATGTCATTCAATTATTTTATTCTGACCGGCTGTGGTAGGCTAATGCAATATTCACAGTTTGGTAATACTAAGTCCCGAAGGGTTGCAGTAACTATTGAGACATCAAATATTTCTGTCCCAAAACCGTTCTAGTTTATTCACTTGAATTATATTCATTAGAATACTTAGTTGGTTCTTGATCTCACAAAGCTCATCTCTGTGGAGGAGGCTTCCTTCGCTTATAACTTCACATATCTAAGAAGAAGTAGTGAACCGGTTGAACACTCTGCCATATGCGATCGGCTGCTTGCACTTTCATGCGTAAATGGGACCCTGTGCAACTCTCGATTTTTGTACGGTCTGTTGTATCCATTTTATTGACGAAAGCGTATCTCTGCTTACAATAGAGCAAGTTTGAAGGGCCACCATCGGGATGCAGTGGAAGCGCAGAGTTGTAGTTGGTCAACCGGAAAAACGTTTCGCTTGCCGAAAAATACAACCAAACTGAGATCGAAATGCCCTAATATAAGGTATAATTGTATTGGCTGCCATCAGAGAAATTAATCTTGCAGCATTCGCGCATCATCATGCATTAAGCCCGAAAGCATCACTTTAAACGCCAAGGCACTCAAATTTATCTCACTGATCCAAGTCATTTTTCGTGAGAGCCTTATAGCTCATGTTTTCTGAATTGCTCTTTAAATACATTAAAATACAACAAACAGACACGATGAACGTACAGTGAAATTAATTTTTCCAAAGTTTCTGAAACCCATTTTGAGGTTATGGCAAGATCAGATCCGAACTGTTATATTGAAACCTGACGCGCATCAGTCAATATGCTTGGTTCAGTGGATTTCCCCGAAAAATCTCAACCTTCGCGGAGATTTATTATAGCATTTTGCAGTGAACGGAATATCTGCGTAGAATAGGTTGAATATTGTTCTTAAGACTATCTGAGGCCCAGATATCCTTTAGCAAACTTTACGTCCTGGGTTCTTCCCTCTAAATTTTGGAGCTTACCCTTTCCTTATAAAAAAATCTCATAAGTCAGGTATTGTGTAATGAATTCCAAGGGTTAGACGTCCATAATAAAAACAATTCTATCTATCCTATAGTCCGACGCTGCGGAACTCCACAGAAGAATTACAAGAAAAACTTTTATAGTAAAATCAACCCAACCAATTATCTTATATTATTACTGGAACCTTAATGGTTAACTTGAAACCTCAATTTGAAGAGTCTTGTACAATTGAGTAAATCGGACGTTGAAAGGTGCATCAGTGAGTCCAAACGCAGAGTGCCTCGAAATGGTAAAAGCAAGTTTATACTCTTTTGTATGTTGTTGATGAAAAGTAAAACGTTTGCTTACGTTCCACGATTTCCTGCCGGATTCCTGTAAAAATTCGTAGGTAGGCTGGCAACCGACAAACCCCGAATTCGTCCAGTACAGCCATACGTACCGGCCGAACTTTCCAGATGTTTCACGTGAATTGGCTCTGTCAAAACCGACGGCGCACGATCACGCAGGGGTTGCTCAAAGCATAACGTTTTGACATCTGTATCCACATCCGTTTCCGATAAAACGCGGTTTATTTCATTCACTGTTGGGTGAATAAAAATTAGCAACAGTCTTGTGCACATATTATTGAATCTATTGAAGCCGTATAAAACACCGGATTATATGAAAACTAAATGCACGATAAGTAGCAGCACCTTTTATCACAGGACAAACATCTCAGGTATTGTTTGGGGCAGGAGACAATATACAATATATGGTGTTGACTTGATCCTCTAAACCTGGTAAAAACATGTGATCTGATCCACCAGGTGGCAAGTGTATCAGAGTAAAATCAACTCCTTTAGTTAGCCGTTCCACAAACGCATCAGTGTTCAATGTATTTCGGATAGCGTAAGATATGGTTGTCATCTTGGAGACCATCAAGATTTATTGCATGGATAGATGATGAAGGAATGTGGATTCGCTTCCATTATCCCGATTGCTCGAAGTTGAGCGGGTTGGCCGTAAAGCAGAACTTAACCTCCACATTCATTTGTACTAATGTTTTATCCGTTTGTAAAGGCGGAAACTAGAAGTGCTGATCTTACTGTTGACAATGGGGTTTGGTAACAAGAAGTTCATTGAAAGAAGTTCCACCATACCACCATAGCGAAAAATCAGGGTTTGGTACGAAAACCACTTGATTCACTAAGTTTTTGTTATTCGCACACATTCCCTAGCTGAGACTTATTTCTGAACGACTTGCTCACGATGGTGAATCGCTATCATCAGAACCAGGTTTGAACCAGGTTTGAATCATTTTTACGTCCAAATTAACATGAAGTACCAGTGGTGTTTTGTTCAGATTGGATCAAATTTTTGTTTGAGTTCTTAGAAGTATTTTCAGTTCGAGAGGCCAAACACAATTGTTGTTATTTCAGCACCTCGATTAAAAATAATATGAAAGCATATTTCATGTGAGCAGTCCAAACATTTTGCAACTTACGCATATCTGACCATCCTTTGGAAGTGCTTTTTGGTTCACTCACTTCGTCAATCTCAGCCCAAAAAGAACGGCCGCCAACTTGAAATCCATTCCCGTCATCTGAGTGAACTTCACTGGCTAGGTCACCCAGCATAGTTTGCACACCCAACTTATCGGAGCATTGGTCTTCGGAACCAGTACGTTGGGTCATTTGTCCTACTGTAACATTGTCAGCTGCGTTTCCGCAAGATGGAGATTCATCACCAAGCATAGGAAGGGACTGTTACGAAAGACAAGAAGGCATATAGGTCAACGACAATCCGTTGACGAATAGAGTATTCGTAACCGTCAGATGCTGGCTAAAGTATATTTGAGCATTGGCTACAAATAGCCGGTAATTGCGCAGTAGGATAACGCCCTGGAGGCAGGTTCTGCTAACGCTTGTTTTGTAGTTCTTTTAAGCTTCTGCGGTCATAGACATCGTTGAAATCCCAGGCTTACAGATAACGTTGCTGTTGAATGTTTGTTGCAGTCAGATTCACGTTCATCTAGATTTTTTCAATTATGATGATCTTCTGTGAAATGTATGTATTTACTAACCAACAGCATTTAACCTTATTGTTGTCTAGAGATTCGGAAGCCATTTGGATCTGGTTTACGAGAAAAAGTATTGAAGAAACTTTACTGAGTAGGGGCGGAGTACGTGGACTATTAAGAATACCATAATCGAGTGTACATCAGTTTCACGTTTCGCTGAGTAACTGACACTCACTTGCTACCTAATGGTACAATATTACATTGAACATAAGTGGTTTTTGTTTTAGTCCTTGCGCCACATATTGGAATAACCTCAACCGTTGTGAGCACCCAGGAGCCACGACTATGCCCCTAAATCGACCTGCGATTTGGGTGCTTTTTTAAAGAATTCACTATTAATGTCGATAGAATTTCCAGCTAACAACTGCACTTTTAATAATTTAAGGAAGCACTGGTAACTTTGTGAGCGCGAACCGGGCTAAAAAATCACCCTTTATTTAGGCCTGCAATTGAACATGCTCTCTGGTGACAGCGTGTGAGTTGAATTTTTCGGATTTTCCAATTTGATGGAAAATTTCTGCACCAAAATAGGCAGCCAAAAACTGGTTCAACTAACTTGTTTTAGGAAAAACGTTGATATTGGATAAAAAAATAATTGGTTTCCTGATTCAAACACAAGTAGCCGGCTGAAATAATATAATTTACAAGGCCAAACGTATTTGTCCAAAGTAGTACAACTACGGAAGTGTCATACTACTCCAAACCATTCCTTGAGGTTTTATTTAGTGTGTTAATTTGTAGAAGCAGCGGACATAAGTTGAGAAATTGAAAGTAACTGGCCTCTGGAAGGGAAGTCCCGGAAGTTAAATCACTTTGTTCCGTTAGGTAGTTTTCTAGTCTTCCCAAATGACTGTTTGCACCATCAACCGTTACTTTAAGCTTATGACGCACGCTCACAACATATAGTACTTGAATAGAGTAATTCAGTTCGGCACAAGAACAGATTTAAATTTAAATCGCTGAGGGTAAAGCCGGGCATTATATGAACTGGACGGCACATTAATATAATCTCAACTGAGAGCAAGAAAACATTAGTAATAGCCTGATGGGACCTGCTTTCGTGAGCTGCTCATTCCTCAGCCTCCACACAGCAGGACAAATGTAGTTGAAAATCAAAAACATAATGATACATTTCTACTGTGTAAGCCCAGGGAAAATGTTGGCTCTTCGCATAACCAGGAAGAGAGCAATATTTTTGGCTATACCTTTTCCGAAGTGTCAACGGATTTTGGTGTTGTTCTCATTCTCGGCTGACTGTCTGAATCACCATCTTGTCCTGCTACCATTGGCGTTGAAGAAGAAACGCCGGTTGTCACATTGTGGTTTTCTGACTCACCGAAGCTGTTCTGCTGCAGTCGGTACGAAGACAAAGGTATATTACCGGGTTGAATATGTGTCCTCTTCATTCGAACGATGCGTGATGTAAGTAAGTAAAAAAATTACGTCGTCATGCCATCACAAGGAAGTTCTGGGTTGAATATTATTACCGCTCTAATTAGAAAGTAAACCCTGCATCCTACATATCTCCTCATTGACGCATCACTGACACAATATAGTATAACAGGCAAGCAGAGAATGTCAAAGGTCGTTTACGAAATTCCATCCGATATGTGGGTAAAGGTAAACTCTCATTTTCATTGGACAAACATAGCAATCAATTTGAAACCCCATCTAAAAATGGGTGCATAGCCTTTAATGGGTGGTGTCTATTTTATTAGGAAGGCACAGAATAATTGTCGGATCTACGGTGTTTTTTTATTAAATGGACACTAAACCTCTCAGAATATGCGTGGTTTCGGCACTGTGTGATGCGCTCCGACCATGTTGAGTCCCAAATGACGTAGAAAGCAGGTTGTATGTAATTTATGCTCCTTTCCAGGAACCAATCTAGCCTCCGAACGCAACTCTGGCGAACATAGCTTTGCAGGTGCACTTCCGAATTTCTTCCAGGTGTATCCATCAAATTCTGTTTGTTTTTATGAGTAATGCAGTGAAGATGATCAAAACAAAAGTAGTAACCCGAGAGAAGACGTATGAAAATTATTGGACATACTCAAGTTTCCGGTTCTACAACGGTCTTCCGTTGAGGAATCCGGTCACCACACTTTGTTCTAAGCAAATCGCCACGTAATACACAGATGCAAACTCAGATCTCTCTTGAAAGATATAGTTTTATAAACACTCTACTACTGATATGACAGAATCATCATGGATTGGTCTCCATCTCTACAGTCGCCTGCCAGACTGACTTGTATGCAAAGGTGTCCACTTCCAATAGACCACTCAGAAATCTGTTGGGACTGATCCGAATCCAAACCAAATGAACTACTTTTAGCTAGAAGTAACTAGATGGAGTAAGTTGAAGGGATAACGTGGGGATTCTGACTTCTACCATACCATACCAACCCGCCAGCCCATATTCGATAAGTCAGAGGCAAACACTTAAATAACTAGAAGGAAGAAGACCACAGCTGAGGTCAAGTCCAAATTAAGCCCTTTGGATTTCCCGGGATTCGCAAGGCTATTTATTAGAGACCACTTAATGAACCATCAAATTATAATGGAAAGTCTATAGTAGGCAGACGAATCAGCTTCAAGTCCGCAACAAAGCGGAGGCAATGTCGAGTGCGTTAACGCATGCTTTCGAATGGTTGATGGACTGCCTCAATAAGAAACGAAATCCAGTTCATCATCTTCACCACCATCATCATCATTAACAACTGTAAGAACCGCGTACTTGTCGTACAATGGTTGTGGCTGCCACAGTTTCGTTCACCAGTGATTTGGGAAAGTGGGGTAGGTAGCTGCGTATTGGAGGCTGGAGCTGATGAATTGACGCGTAAATCAATGGCTCTCAGTGGACTGTTGAGTGGAAGAATTGAAAATGGAGCTGTGCATTGAAGGCAATAGCTTGCACCGACGGGCTCTATCGAGGGCACGACCGGTCCATGTCTGACAATGCCCTTTGTCATTGATCTGGCCCGTCTTGGGGACCCATCCAGAAAGACGGAAGTAACCAGCGCAGCTGTGTTTACTTGCATACCATGGCTGCTCAATTTTTGCCGGAGTCTCCCTTCCTTACTAAATAGCTTTCAGCGCTTTGAAAGTGATTTGTTCAGCAATAAAGTATATGCACCCCACACCAAAAGTGACTCTTCACACGATCTAATCCTTGTGGTCGTAATTGGTGGTTATCTGTCTGCAAATATCAGATCTGGTGAAAGCCAAACCCAAAATACATAGGCGGTAACAGCGAACACATTGTGTGAAATCACTGGAAAGTATAAAATGAACGCAAAATTATTAACCTATCTTATGGCCTTGTCTCCTGAAGGGATTCTACTTGTCCTCCTCAGATTCTAATAAATCAATGGTATATTTTTGACACATGAAGCTTGTCTTGACATGAAGCTTCATTGCTCTTTCATCCATCCGTCTTGATGTGGGGGACGTTTTTACTCTTTTATATCCAGTGAGCTAATATACTGCTTGAGTTTACAACGGGAGAAAGTAAACCAGTTTGGGAGATTCTCGAGTCAAAACAGAGATAAAAAATTTCGTGATGTGAGGAACGTAGTCAATCACGTTTTTCCAGACGATCTCAAATGTCTACTCATGAAACGGAAGACGTCAGTATAAATTCACTAAGCTATTTTTCTTTCGGTTCGGCTATGATTTGTTTATTTTAAGCAGTACGTTTTCTCTCACCTCACAAATCGATTGGTCACCATGAGGTTGTTTGGGCTGCGCTGAACGATATTTATTTTGATTTTTTGTCTGCAGCAATTTTTCAGACCGACAGGGTGATAAGTTTCTCATGCGCAGTTTTTGTTCTTCTAATATTCGGCGAAGTGCAGCCTGGGCAGCCAGCTGTCTGCGTCGATAGCGACGCCAGAATTTCTGGATCTTTCTGGCAGCCTCTGTTTGATGACGATACCCTTCATCTTGGTGTGCTGGAAAACGATTTGTTGGAAGAACAATCCGTTGACGTCATATTTTGATTTGTTTTAAAAACCATTGGAAATGCTTTGTACATACCACGGAGAAAAGCAAACAAATAGAAAAGAAATTTGAGTAACTGCGTTTTTAAATGGTACGCATTGGGGGGCAAAACGTTGAAATTCCGTTTATTATACCATGAGATCATTCCATCGTTCAGTCAAATCTTTCCCTTATTACTACCGAATGAAATCTTTATTTCTTAAAATGCAACACAATTGGCCTTAACGGGCTTCAATCAACGCTGGCAATCTTTTAATGGATGATAAATAACTAGTAAATTTTATAATAAAGTTAATTGTGTTATACTAAACAAACAACTTAGTTAATCTTCGTATTCAGGAAGGCAGTGATTTGGGTGGAATAATACTGGATAATGGTGGCTGTGATGTGTCATCTTACCTTGTATCTCAGATATTCGAGGCGAAAAACATACCGCTTGGCTATGTGGCGATCTACAAGAGCTGAATATGTTTGTACAAAGCATTCTGTGTATTTTTAACGATCAGTACTGTTGAGTATTCTATAGGGTGTAATGCAATCACCTACGAGAGAGTCATGTTGCAGATTATATTCTCAAGGTCTCGGTTGCAACAATATTTTATCCTTCCACAGTACACGCGCCAACATCAATATACAAACTCAAAAAACTTCACGCGCTACAAAATATAGTAGGGCCTAACAGCCATTCTCTACCATTTCTAAAAACTATGCACATTTCTGTGGCCACAAAAACAGAGTTAGTTTGCGGAGTTTGAAAACGTCACGCCATTAAACTTACCTTTATTTATATCTTGATTAATCCATTGGTTGTTTGACTGTTGAGAAACCCCGTAGTTGGGTGGTGGCCCAAGAGAGACTTCCGATATTTCACTTCGGTCTTTCGAAATGTTTACACCAAACAGAACGCCTTGAGGAGATTTTAAGCGTGTTTTCTTTTTATTAAATGCATCATCCAAACTGTCCAGTGAAATTTTGAGCTCAGGATCACACTTGACTTTACGATGAGTAGCGGGAAGTGGATACTTTTGTGAACTGCTGTGAACCTAAAAAATTAAAAAACTGGGTGCATATTTCTGTTACCTCAAAACCATTCTAAATATTAGGTGAAAAACGTAAAAAAACGCTCAGACATACACTCTACGACAAGATGATGATTTTACAACTTCTGTATTTCGGAATGACTTCTCAGCGTTCGAAGGGACAAATCGGCTTTAAAATATAAGCGGCTTACACCAGGTGTTCCAAAAATCGACCCGAACAACTTTCAGTCATATATCTACATGGATAGCCAGCTTTACCCCAGTTGCTTTAAAGAGTACATTTTAAGTCTTCTTCGAGCGTAACTTGTCCGTTTGGTCCAACTTTTGAGATCTTTTCTTACCTGAATACATTACAAACTTCATCTTCTCCCAAAAATTTGTGAACAATCTGATTCAAACAAACCATCTTCCTCAAAATTCATTCCAGTCAGTTTAATTTAGAAAGTTACTACACGTTTATTTTTCTCTCTCATGTCCATATAAAAAAATGTTACTGAATTTGACCGTCTAGGGCGCTTTATATCCGGATAAATTTGTGAATGGGTGCAGAACACGTTCCACGCACTCTGGCCTACAGACTCAGTAGCTGGGTCTACATTTGTTTACGGTTTTCAACATCAGGTTAGTGAGTAAAACATGTATGACCAAAGCGCCTTAACAGATTTCACTTGACATTTGTAATGAACACACTCAGTAGTCAGGTGGTCAACACAAATGATGTCTCATGTCCACGTTTTTGTGCATATCTCGAAGTCCATTATATAGATTTCAAATGCCGACCGGGCAGGAGCAACAAACTTTTGGTTGGCTGTACACAACTCCATTAGCTTCTAAAATAAGAAGGCGTTGTAAATGTCATCAAAATCACCTGCTCCTCGAGGATGAAGTGACTTAATGGAGCTCTTCTCTATTTCTATCAAAAACTTGATCAGACTTACAGACTCCATCTCCAGTTTTTCCCAGCTGGGTTCCGAATCGTCCACATATGTCTTCAGCCAGTCTGTCACGTTTCGGCGACTTCTCTCCTCGGCTTCTGGGGACTGCTTAGCGTTGGAGGGATGATCCTGACACGAGATTCTTTTGGATGGCTCGGCTTTGACCTTGGCAGGATCCAAATTTGGGTTTCGTTTCGCCGAATTCATCCGGGTTTTCAACGATCCATTACCAGTCACTTTTGATTCACCTGTTATTGGCCTCTGAACGTCAAAAAATTTGCAACTTTCAGTCAAGGTTACATGATTTTAATACAACTTATTTTCGTTAGGCTTATTCATAGTTGATTACTGACATTACGCTGTAATAACGAGTCGGCTGAGAGAAACAGCATGCCGAGAACAGTGTTGTTAGAATAAAATAATTTTTCAACGTAGGCATAACAGAAACTTTTGATGTTAAGTACCAAAAAGATAGTTAGGAGAAATGAAGCTCTTCCAACTCACATCGGTTGACCTTGCTGAATTACGACCACTGGTGTTCGAGAGCTTAGACAAACAAATTTGAGACCCCCGTAAACTCAAATCCAGCATTGCGGAATACAACTTCTCCAATGTTCACAAATTTTTAATTTCCAAAACGATAAGCTGAAAAATAAGGAAAGGCTTTGAATAAGAGCGGAATAGATTTTAAGATAAGATAAGATATTTTGAGACGGAATATATTCTGCTATCACACGCGGTCGGTTAATTTGCACCTGTGTTTGAACGCAAGGTAGATTGCGGGTAAAAAATTTTACTTCTCATTGGGAGATGTTATTTTTGTACTTGGTCCTGATTAAACATACTGGAACTTGCTTGTAGGTTTGAGTAATCTTGCGTTACAAAGATATATTTTTAAAACCCTACCGCCTTTGTTTTTGTTAATAATTGTCCGCCTTATGTCAATTTTTTACTTATGCTGAGCGCATCGATAATCCTACTGACCTATCTTAGCCTATCGAGATTTTTTTCAATCTCATTTTTGTGCGCGAATTGCAACTCATCTACCGAAGCTGAAGAAAAACGCTTGCAAATTGTCTTATATATTTTGCACTCAAAAGATGCTACAATAGATGACAACTTGTAGAAAATAGACAAACACTCAAAACAAACGCAAGTAGAGCAACCGGACCGCCACTTGAACAATCGAGGCAAATTTCTGCAATCGGGATGACGGTTTTCACCGAGTACTGGTGTCGCTCTCTTAGACATAACAAATCCAGGAACGAGGTTGTTCGTTGAGAATCTGACCCAGGGAGAACGGGTAAACGGGGACTCATATAATGTATGGGTGCAGGTGTGTGACACTTTGACAAGATTATTCTAAGTGCTCAATTCTTTATTTTGGTTCTGCAAAGATTCTGTATTTTGTTCAATGCTCAAAATATTATGTGCACTATTCTGAAGAGGTGTCTTTTCGCAGCTTTCAAAATTGCTTTACAAGACCTTGAGCAACAAAAGAGAACTGTAGGATAACTCAAAGTTATAAGTGAATCTTCTAACAGCTACTTAACTCTTCTAAATTTAAATCACGTTCCGAATAACTTCTGTGACCCTAATTTGTCTACCAAGTCTTGCCTAGCTATGAAATGCTTGTGAGCTTTCCTGTGAATCAACACCGGATATGTAACTAACACAACTCTCAGTTTAGTATATAGAACTGGTCCATGTTTCTCGCGTTTTTCCACTCAATCCTGTTTGCCTGAGAAAACTAAATTGCTGGCAAGCTTTCAAAAGTCTTACACAGTCCCTTCTTATGGCTGCAATGATAGCAAAGAAATCGTCTTCCGAAATGTGGTCCAAAGCTTAACTTGACGAACATGTATGAACGCACCCCAATTATTTGCGTCAAGTTTCGGAGACATTTGTAGATGTTAACTGCCCAAATTACTGTTTAAGACGATTGGTATTCCTAAATGAAAGAGGGATATTGGTGCCGGACCTCAAAACAATTTTCCGTTTATGGCTCTAAAGATATGTGATGACTTTACTTTCAGTGTCCTATCTTCATTTGGTAAAAAAAGAGAGGATTCTATAGTAATATACTGCCTGCAAACAATTCCTACTGATAACACCAAGCTGATCAATATTTGTGTGTACGTTTTAGAACTTTTAACCCACAGATGTTTTGCTGGGTTTCAAAGGCCCCAAGCCACCCGCATGTCTTCTAAAACCTGAGAGTCATGAATTTTCACTCGCTGGGAAATTGTAGGATGAACAGCCGATATTTGGTTGGGACATTCTGTTTTAAATGTAAAAATCCGGCCTGGTTTCCCTACGCTTCGATATTATCCTGCACAGCTTTCTGCAAATGCCAAAGAACTTCAGGCCTAAAATTGTTTAACTCATTCAACCGACCATTTTCTACACAATTGTTGGGCTATATTATTCGTTCCGCGTGGAGAAGCCGTTGTATATGGTTGGTGCGGTGGAAAAGTTTGTTGTCCAAAACTAACAGTTAGTGGATTCCACAGGAAAAAACTTGCAAGTAAGTGTAACTTCTACAGTTAAGTAGCAGATTTTTCGAAGCATTTGTATGATATTTCATGACTCAAACTTCTTAAGGAGAAACGGTGAAGCATGTTGCCATGAGCTTGTCTGATCGCACTATATGCTCAAACGCAAACAGAAGTTGCAGGTCTGTGCGTTTAGTTCAGTTAAGTTCACGTTTATTGACTCACACAACCTGTACTAAGTGTAGTATTTTTATCTTCTACAGCTTTTTTCACCAGGATTAAAGAGAAAAAGGGAATAGGAGCCATGTGGCAGAGACTATGATATAATCAGCTCATGGATTCGAAATAGCTTTGCGTGTTCAATATGGTAGAAAGTACGAGCTACGCAGCGAAGCCGACAACTTTGATACTGAGGCCCTACATGCCACCTGAAAGAGCGGTATCTGTCATGGTCATCAATCATTCGTTTATTTCATACCAAAGTCCCAATCAGGGAATATTGCATTTGCCAACGTGATTATGTTAACCAGTAAGGAATTTTATTCCAAGTCATGGACTGATCACTTCTTAGTCGTCTCCGCCCGACAAAAAGCTTGACAAGGAAGAGAGTACGAAGCTACAGGTGTTTTGCCATAGCTTTCTCCACAATCGTTTCACTTGACAGTACACTAACAGTGCCGTATTTGTGCGCCGATTTGTCAGCTCCCGCCTCCGGTTCGCAGCTGTGTACACCACTGCCCCAAACCATCGGTGGAAAAAACTGTGGCAGGTACAACTTTTGTAGGACAAGTACGCGATTTCTACGGCTGATACGGACTACATGGTCTAACCAGCTAATTTGTGGGACGTGACCAGGGGATCCACTGAGGGAAAGTAAGCCTTCCCGAAATCTACCTGGCATACCTAAGTAATACTGATCTCACAAAACTCGTGCAGTGCTTTTAAGGAACCGACCGTCAAATGCGGAATCCTCCATAGGTGTCTAAGGGAAAACGATCAAGAATTTAATCCATAAATCAGGACAAATCTGACAACGTTATGGTACACCCAGGCTTCGATGGGCAAATGAATATCATGGCAGCACCCCACAATCCCGAGGGTTGGCAAACTCCACAATGGCCTGCTCAATACACAGAGTGATGTCACCTCCCGCCGGCCTGCCGCAACTTATACAACTTATATAATTAAATTGAGCTTCTGCACTGATTGGTTCACCCGCAAGCCTAAGGGATGGGTCCAATATAACCCGAACTCTTAGTAAAATTACCTTTTACGGATGTAAAGTTCATACTACACTCTGCGGCGGAATTTTCCAGATTATTCGAAATAGTTTGCATTTACAAAAAGGCTTATCTAAGGAGGCTAATATTGTCAGTGTACTCACTGTCCGTAAACGGAAGCTTTAAGGGTATTTTGATCTTCGGGATGTCGCAGGCTTCTAAAATAACAGATTCATCATCGACGTGCCCCATCCTGTTGGTATTCTTTCCTCATTCAATGTACTTTAGAACAAAGCGGTCACGATAGCCACGACGAACACACCTACTTTTTTGAAAGTGCAGTATGCAAACCACCTGGATCGGATACTTTTCCGGACTGAATCAATTATATTTCACGCCTCTCTGTCGTGGCTGATGGGAGCCTGGTATCGAAGTTGATCTTGAGTTCTTTTGATCCCTGAGGGGGGCGGTGTCCATAGAGCAAGTCCATATAAACGGGCTGAGGCCCCAACTTTCTTGTAGACCTTTCCGCTTACATCTACGCTTGTCAAATTAGCTGATCAATTTAGATGTAATACGGCTTGGTGTTATCACATGAGAAACCTTCTGGTAATTCCTGGGTTTCTAGGATCCACCAGCGCTGCCAATTTTAGGCTCCCAATTGTTCTGCGTCTGAGATATCTTCTTTCGCCACCATAAACCCCTTATTGTTATGGATTTTCTGGTTTTGTTTCGAGCTGCTGATGTTGAGGAGATACAGTGTTCACTGAAGTGTGCGAGCAAACCGGGAAAGGGATAATTGCTTTGCCTTTTTCCAATAGTCATCTCACCCACTATTGATAATATCGCACCTGTCGACTTCTAGAAGCTCCTCAAATAACTCGACTCGGTAACATTAGGCTACAGAGCTGCTTTGGTGATGAGATGGATACCTCTACCCCAAGCAAGACGTTTCAGAGAAGAAGTGGATAAGTACATGTCCCCGTACAATGCCATGATCGGAATCCAGAGATGTACTCAAGAGTGAACGACAATCTTGTATCAAGGCTATCCGTTGTTGCTGACTGCCTCGTAGCCCAAAGAAATCCACGATTTGTCTGAAATTGGTGGTGAACTCTAACCCGAAAATATGTGCTAGGTAGAAACGATGACGCTTGGTGATTAACTAAAGAATTCAGTCCCCGCTGTCTGTACACTTAGCGTCAACCCAATCAAGATGTGCTTCCTCAAAATTTAGTCATCTTTCTGTCTATTCATTTTCCTGCAAGAATCACGATATCTGCACCCCTCGTCAAATGAAGCTACCGTGACAACTCACGATAGAGGCTATCGTTGTAAGCCTCAGACCTACCATTCGAAGAAGCTTATTCTGATAGACCAAAGAAGTATCGTTTACAGAATGAAGACGTCATGCTCGACTAAACCAGCCAACGTGACGGCCCAAAGACAACCGTCTCTTGGGAATCAGTCCAGTAGAGGGCATCCGCTATAGGGCTAAACAGAAATCCTTCAGTGGGTATCACAGGACATTGCGTTAAAATTATAAGGAACCCGGAGTGTAGCGTGCAAGAACTCTGAGGTCATTTCAAATGAGATGGTTTACATAATCGAAATGGGTCTAGTACACGTGTTTCAGGGGTAATTCGTGTATAAATACGGAGAACGAGCTTTGAGCAAGAGCTAAATGGTGCTTAATTTGACACAGTATGGACTTTGACAGCTGCAATAAGGAACAGATCCCTTGATTAAACAATTTTGTATTTTTTATTTGTTTCACTTATCAGAGAATTAGATAACAGCCTGATTACTTAGGATTTGGGTGGCTAACTTTAAGGGAACGGTCAGTCAATAAAGTAATGTAAATGCGAATAGTTCG